ATATTTTAGAGAAAAAAGAAGGATCTTACACACATCAACTTTAAGATCCCGATGTGTTTAAGCCGTAAAAAAAGAAACAACACGCTGCTTATAAGTGGATTTGGCGGGTGAGTGACAGTAGGTCCAAAAACGACTTACACACCCAGTTTTTTTTTACCTATAAATTATTCATATTTATATTTTAATTATGCTTTTAGTTGAAGGCAGCAGTCTGTATTTAGTAGATTGCATTTAATACACTTTATAGTTTATGGATTTGAGGTATTAGAGGTAATTTGGTTAGTTTAGGTAACAATTCATACTATTAACTATTGGATTATTACCTGCCAATTGTTAAGATATTAACTGTTCATTAGTAGTTATAAAGTATGATCTTATTCTTCATCCCTAATTATTAATAAACAGTTATTTAGTAGTTTATTAATCTAGTAGTGTAAGTTAATAGTTTGTTTATACTGTGAATCGTCACCTAAACTAAATTGTGACCAAAACTTCTCCATTATTCAAAAAAAAAAAAAGTTTAAGTTTAAAAAAAAAAAGTTAAGTTATGAATATGTATATAATATGAATATGTATATTTCAATTATTATTATTATTTTTTACTTGAAGGCAGCAGTCTGTATTTAGATTGCACTTAATACACATTATAGTTTATGAGTTGAGGTAATTTTGTTAGTTTAGGTAACAATTCATGCTATTAACTACACTGTAACTTGACATTACTAAAAATACAAATTTTTGGCATCAAAGTGTGTTTAACTTACTCATTAGGTTGCAAAAAAACATTTAACTAATATTTTAATTCCTCTGAACTTAGTATTTTATATTCTGCAAACGATTCACCATGTCTGTTTAAAATGATTGGTTGCGCTTGAAATACTGCCTTGACAACTGCTCTGATTGGTCGATATATGTTTTATGACCCAAGGTGGTCATTTTGCTTGTGATGCTGAATTTTGCTAAAACATGTTATAGGTGTACTGGGTAAGCTAAATTGTTTGTTTATGTTCTGGTCCTCCAGGTTGGGGGTTGAGCTAATGACCCACCACAAAAAAATTAGATGTTATGAAACACCAACATGATACGGCTAAATATCAACTTCGATGTAAGCGACCCTGGGAGTAGGGGAGTAAGTAAAGTAAATAATAAAAGCAAAAAAAATTGGAAGTTTAGTCTATTAGCCGTTTTAAGTTATCTATAATTAAACATTTAAGTTATTTCAATGAAGAGACCAGATTTGGTCAACTCAGTTCATTGAGTTTTCTAGAATCACTGATCTTGAACTTTATCCCTGAAACCCAAAAGCTAAACTGGACTTCTACTTTACTAACTACTAATAAACAGTTAATAAGTAGTTTATTAATAATAATGTTAGTTTATGGTTTGTCATGGTTTTTCTCAGTTGCTTTGTTACATTACTCAGATCAGAACTGAAATTTGCAAAACAGTAGTGCATTTGTTAAAACATCGCGAAATAGCAAAACAGCATGGATTACCATCTCTTGCTCAAAACCTTTAGTTCATCTCTCAAAACTAAATTTCTGTCAATGAAAATATCAGTGCCTTCAGAATGACAAGTCCTTGTGTCATTGTGTACAGATAAGACAGTCAAATTAGTTAGTTTTCAATACAACAGTGTATACTCTAAAGGGGTTTTCTGATGTAAACTGTGGTGAAGTTAGAATTTTTGGCTGTAATTTGTTGCCAGAATATGTCATTGGGATAGAGAAAAAGAAAAATACAGCTCTGCATACCACAAAGAAAAAACTAAATAAAAGTAGAAATGTGAACTTATCTTGAGATGCACCTTCATTAGAAAAAAATAAGATTCACCAGGGGAAAATTTACCAATTTTAGACAGATTAAAAAAAAAAACATCTAACAGACATGTATAGAAAAATCCATTATGAAAAAATATGATGACTTGTTCAGTTATTTACTATAAGACTTATGCCATGAACAAAGGATTAAATGTTGTGGAATGTGAGACTACTCAACAGAGAACAAACAAATTAAAAGTTTGACCTAAAAGTCTACATTATTCAAAAAGCTGAGCTGGTATCATATCAGTTTCTGTATTGGCCATTATTCAGATTTCTGTTTTGGTTCAAGCTGGTAATAAGTGGATCTGGCTAGGATATTATGGCGTATGTGACAGACTAAACATATAACTGTCCAGTTTTATGGCTAAAGTTTTGCATGCTATAACTATTGTCCCTCGATCTTAAAAAAAATTACCTTATCTCAGGCAATATAAGGATAAACCAAGGATATAAGTTCACACGAATCATGCTGGCCCCTGCAATGTTGTGCAGTCAGTATATCTGTTTAATCCTCATTCCTCCTTCCTCTTAATGGCTAGTTCTGGGAATCATTTGTGTGCCTGTGGCAGGGGATTTTCCACTGTAAACCTCTTTGGCAGCCCCTTATTGTATCATAATGTAGGTTTTATGGGGGCAACTTTTTTGTTGGTCTGCTACTGTCTGACATCTCTCAAACAGTGATGGACTCAAATGGCCAATTATAGGTTACAGTAAAACCCTTTCGATGGGGCTTGGAGGCTTATGTTTTTGAAGGGTTATTTATATAGCCTATGCTGTATCATATTGTATTCCTGATATTGAAAATGAACTGTAATGTTTATTCGCCTTATTTTTGGACTGTCAGTTAAATGAGTAATTGTAGGAGATGCAAGTTGTCATGTCACATTTCAGGCTTTGAGTCAAAAGATACATTGGGATAGATAGACAGACAGATTAGAATAGAATAGAATAGAATAGAATAGAATAGAATAGAATAGAATAAAATAGAATAGAATAGAATAGAATAAAATAGAATAGAATAGAATAGAATAGAATAGAATAGAATAGAATAGAATAGAATAGAATAGAATAGAATAGAATAGAATAGAATAGAATAGGTATTAGTTATAGAGATTAGAGAAGGTATTCTTGATATCAAATATCTTATTATCTTAATCATTTTTAAGTAATTAATATGGTTTTGTGTCAAAACTCCAGAAAAACAATTTGGACAGTCAAATGATCAATAAAGAATAGAATATATTAGAAAAGAGACAACAGAAGAGAATAGAAGAAAATAGAATAGAAGAGAAAAAGCTTTTTTTTTTTTTACCAAATTGTGATACTAAAAATTTTATTTTTAGTATCAACAATTGTTACAACAATGCACTATTATATTATATAATATTTCATTATATTATATTTCATTATATTATATTATATTATATTATATTTCATTATATTATATTTCATTATATTATTATATTATATTATATTTCATTATATTATATTATATTATATTATTTTATAAAATTGAAGATGCGAGTTGTTACATATAATTCCTTCTTTAAAATCCACTTTTATTTTGTTCAAATAGATGCATTTTATCTTTGCTGACCACTTTTCTACACACAGAAAAGATTTAACAAATATTTTAAAACATTTATTTTGTGAAATATATCATTAACCAAATAAATTTGGATTGTTCCCCAGCAGTTGGAAAATTTTATTTTTTATTTAATTTTACATTTTTTAAGTGCAAAAAGTAAATTGTTTAAGCTGTTCTTTTTTTTTTTTACTTATTGCCAGTTGTGTTTCTCTGTTCATGTGTCACACTAATGATCAATCTACAGGTTATTTAGTGCTATAACATGCTTAGGTTTGAAGTAAATCAGGTTTAAATAGCAAACGTTTCTGTGGGGACGAAAGTAACACTGTTATTAATGTCCTGCTGCTAATAGACATACGTTATTTTTTGCTTCCATATTAGAGTTTGCAATGTTTGGATTTAGTTGCTTTAAAAAAATAATGCACATTTATAATAAAGAATAATCAAAAATTGTAGAAAATGCTGACATTTTGCATTGTTTAATTCCTTTTGAAATATTTGATAGAAGTGAAATAGCCGTTTAATGTTATTATTATTTTTTTTTGCAAAAATAAAGGGGAAACTATGTTTGTAGTGAACATTAATAAAGTCAAAGTTAGATTTGTTTAAAATGAACAAGAGTAAATAGTAAATCTAGCACATATTTTTGTGTTACTTTTTTTTTGTTTTTGTTTTTTGTTTTTTTTTTTGTTTCTTTCGTCCCTGCTCTCCCCATACAGACCTGTAGCCAGCCTGGTAAAAGAGGTGGTTCCTTTTTCTCAAAAAGTGGACCCAATTATTTGTTGTTTGCCTCATTTTCTATTTAATTATGAGGTTTAAATACTGGATTTTAAAGACATTTTAAGTACTTTTTTTGTTTAAATAGCTTGTCGGATGTTCATTAGAACCAAATTTTTTTCATGTACCAAAACATATTCTTAAAAATTTTGAAAAACATACCTCAAAATACTAATTTATTACATAATTTACCATTAAGAAAATAAATATGCTGATTTATTTGACAAATAATAATCTTCCTCAGTTAGAGTTTGGACATTTGAAAAAAAAAAACAATAATAAAGAGCTTCACAATTTTTCTATATTTTTCTTCATGTCAAAAAGTTCAATTGAAAATTCATAGATAACTGCCTGTCTATTAAAATTTACTATAGGCTGCCTTTGGTGCTTAACACCTTTTTATTGTTCATTGTTTGTTTCAAGAATAAGGTCCAAGATTTAGTTAAATGTTTTCTCTTTAAACAAAACAGTGAGTCAGTTGTCAAAGATAATTGAACTTTTGTCAGATGATGGACTTGCATTGGCCAGAGCTGATTAGCTAAATTCACAGCAGTTAACAAAGGATTCCCTTTGGTCTTAAAGCCTTCTTTGTTGGGTTATTTTCAGAATTTATGGTGGAATAGCAGTCAAAGTAGGACTAATGAGGTCTCGTATGGGACAAATTCTCGACCTTTGTCAGTGGAGAGTGGGTCTTTCGAACCACCTGAAATCTCTGTCTACGGGCCTGCCAAATAAATCAGTAGGCTATATCCCAACAAATGTTTACATTTTAAAATAAAAAAAACTAATCTCTGACACACAACAGAACTGACGTTTTTTTATTGTGTGTTTTTTTCTTAGCAACTTACATTTTAAAGCATATAATAACTTTATTCGAAAAGAAACGAAATCAATAATCTCAAACCACTGAGCATGCGTGTGTACCAATAACAGGGACAAGCGGCTCCACACACACAGAGACAGCGATGCTTGTTCCTATAGCAACAGCCTCTCGCGCACATCCGCCGCCTCCAGCCTCGTCTTTACCGGATCCGCGCGGCCTCTCCTCCTCCTCCCCACCGCACAGCAGCATCCCTCCGTCGACAGGACATTTCCTCACACGGAAATACGACGGGGGAAGGAAAATGGCGCTCATCCCATCACAGATCCTCAGAGTAGCGATCCTCCTCTCTTATTTTTCCATCCTCTGCAATTACAAAGCCATAGACATGCCCGCGCATCAAACATACGGCGGTAGCTGGAAGTTTCTTACGTTCATAGATTTGGTAAGTGCATGTGCATCGTTCCCATGCAGTGCCTGGTTATATTTCTCTCCATAATGCATTATCAGGCCCCTGTTATGCCGAAACGAGTCCAAACGCCAACACGAGTAGTCTTACGTCATGTTTACCGATCATTAAACGTTAATCGCATGACGTAACCACTTTTTTAAATCTGTGATGATGATGTCGTCATGCTTTTAATATCTCGCATTCTCGTGAATAATGAAGGTATTTCGAAGGGTTGCGCGCTGAACTGCGATCAGTTAAATAGTTATGAAGATAAATGAAGGATGCACTTGCAGTTTTGGATTTAAACGGCAGCATCCTTGTCTTTTGTTCTGGCTCCATCTGTTAGAGTGAATGCAGGTCACATTAGGCGCCAGCATCTGTACGCACGCACGCACGCACGCACATACGCTTCGACTGTTATGACAGTCTGTGAGCCAATGACTCATGTTTTCCATATAAACAGCCCATTTCTCCCCCTTTTTTTGAACAGTGATTTTTTAAATAGCAATAAAAGTTGTTTTGTTACACTTCACGTTTCCACATCTGTTCCAGTGCGCTATTTGCTTTTTTTCTTCTTCTTCTTCTTCTTCATTTATGCCTGGGAATAATCTCACACACAGATATGTTCTGTATACAGATGTGTATACGGATAGGATTATTGTGGATAAAGCTTTTTAAACTTACTTTCTGTTTTGTTTCATGATTATGTTTTCTCTCTAAATCCCTAATCTAGGACTCCAGCAACATTATTGTACATTATTATTCAAACATGTTTTTTTTATGAAATTAAAAGTATTAGTGAGCAAGGATGCACTGAATTCATCAGAATGGACAAACTATATGACACTTATTAAAACCCTTACATTATTTTAGGGTATCAGGGCATCCGCTGTGTACAACATATGCTGGATAGGTTGGCAGTTTATTCCGCTGTGGCAAACCCTGATTAATAAAGGGACTAAGTCGATAAGAAAATTAATAAATGAACGTTATTTTAAATGCATTATTTATGTATTGATCATATATCCATAATTAAAAAGATTTTACATTATAAAATGTAATAAAATAGCAAGTTATTTCAAATATTAACACTTTTTTTTAATGTAATCCAGTCTTTCCTTTTTCTAGGTATGCATGACATTATCATACTTATTTTTATATATATAAACATTTTTGGATACAAACTATTGTCACACTGAATGAAATATCAGTGTGTGTCGTCTGTAAATCAATTCAAATGTATAATAGTTATTGTTAATGTACACTCTCCGGCCAAGTGATTAGGTAAACCTGTCCAACTGCTCGTCAATGCAAATTTTTAATCAGCCAATCACGTGAGAGCATCTCAATCAATGCATTTAGGCATGTGTACATGGTCAAGATGATCTGCTGCGGTTCAAACCGAGCATCAGAGTGGTGAAGAAAGGTGATTTGAATGACTTTAAACGTGGCATGGTTGTTGGTGCCAGACGGGCTGGTCTGAGTATTGCAGAAACTGCTGATCTACTGGGATTTTCTTGCACAACCATCTCTAGGGTTTACGGAGAATGGTCAGAAAAAAAGAAAATATTAAGTAAGTGGCAGTTCTGTGGGCGCAAATGCCTTGTTGATGCCAGAGGTCAGAGGAGAATGGCCAGATTGGTTCGACTGATAGAAAGGCAGCAGTAACTCAAATAATCACTGGTTACTACCGAGGTATGCAGAAGAGCATTTATAAATGCACAACACGTCCAACCTTGAGGCGGATGGGCTACACCAGCAGAAGACCACACCAGGTGCCACTCCTGTCGGCTAAGAACAGGAAACTGAGGCTACAATTTGCACAGGCTCACCAAAATTGGACAATAGTAGATTGAAAAAACGTTGACTGGTCTGATATGTCTCAAATTCTGCTGCGATATTCAGATGGTAGGGCTAGAATTTGGGTCAAAAACATTAAAGCATGGATCCATCCTGCCTTTTTTCAACGGCTCAGGCTGGTGGTGGTGGTGTAATGGTGTGGGTTATTTTCTTGGCACACTTTGGGCCCTAATTGACCCTAATTGGGTACTAATTGAGCACTGTGTCAACGCCCAAACCTTCCTGAGTATTGTTGCTGACCATGTCCATCCCTTTATGACCACAGAGTTCCCATCGTCTGATAGCTACTTCCTGCAGGATAATGCACCATATCATAAAGCGTGAATTATCTCAGACTGGTTTCTTAAACATGACAATGAGTTCACTGTACTCAACTGGCCTTCACAGCCACCAGACTCAATCTAATAGAGCACATTTGGGATTCACATAATGGATGTGCAGCTGACAAATCCGCAGCTATATGTGATGCTATCATGTCAATATGGACCAAAATCTCTGAGGAATATTTACAGTATCTTGTTGAACCTATGCCACGAGGGCTTAAGGCAGCTCTAAAGGCAAAAGGGGATCCAATCTGTTACTATTCAGGTGTACCTAATAAAGTGGCCGGTGAGTGTATAAACAGTATGTACATTAATTTAGTCAATGTGTAACATTATAATTTTTTTGCTCAAAATAAAACATAGAAGACATTTAATGTATTTAAAAAGTAAGGTAACATATATTCTCTTTTAATAAATTTAGCTTCAATACACATATCTTTATATAAATGTAGCAATTACATAAATGTAGCCTTTCATAGTCTATAAACCCAGAAGAATTTGACTTACTTTTATCCCAAGCATAGAGAGCTAGCAAAGTGATGTATTGTTGTGCTGCTTTGTGTAATAGTATAATGATTAATTATGACAGCATTTAAGGACCTCTTGACACCGCTCATAACGCTGCTATAATGAACGTAGATGATGAGGCTGTCTGAAACTAATATTAGATCAGACGATAAACACGTCATGTTCAGAGAAGCAGATTATCTCATCCTGGCGCGAGAAATGCAAGTACGTCTGGATCAAATACTTGCCCTGTGATATCCAAAAAACTGATCTACTCCACTATAGCACAAGCTACTACATTTATTAACACTCATAGTGATACCATTGTGTTAACTGTTCCACTTTGATTCGGGGCATTTATGTTTTCACCAGGCCTCATTAATGATTAAATGTAGGGCTTCAGATTTGGATTTCCATTCCCACAATAGGACACTTGAGGAGCCTGGCGTAAAGCTGAGCTCTCTGTGTCATACAGGAAGTGCCTGGTCAAGTGTGGCCGAAAGCTTTCAGCGATCCGACAGTGAGATACCCATGGATTAATTAGCAGGGTTTAATTAGCGCAGATGCACAGGTTTTCGGAGTGTATCATTACCGTGATGAAAGGCACCCTATATTTTTGCGAATGCTTTGCAACTTTAATTATAAAATCTTTGATCTCTCGGAATGAAGAATTGCTGTTAATTTACTCACCCTCAGGCTGTCGGAGATGTAGGTGCTGTTTTTTTTTTTTTTTTTAGCAGAACATTAAAGAAGATTTTTAGCAGAAATCTTAGTCCTTGGTGATTCGTATAAGGCAAATCAACAGCTACTGGCACATACAGTATGAGAGTCAAGAAATAGATACACAGGCAACACACCGTTAATACACATGGCTTCTGATGATGCAATGAAGTCTTCTGAAGTATGTGCAAGAAATTGAAGTAAATTAAACAGACCCCTTTCACACCCTTAAACTGATTTCACCAAGCAGGACATGTTGCTGGATCAACATCTATGTTGATCCTGGAACAACATGCCAATAAGAATTAAGAGATATGTTTGCCGTTTATGTTAGGTTTGGGTATATGCACGTCTAAATGAGTGTTATCCAACTATTATTCTCCTCTGATTTTGGGAATAATTTGAGTTATGGTTGGGTTTAGTGGTAGGGAATAGGTTTAGTGGTAGGGAATGGGATTACATTTCCAAACAAAAATCATGTTCCAGGATCAACATTGATGTTAATCCACTGATTTAAAACAGCTGGGTTCATAATAACCCAACAGGTAACCCAAAAGTGGGTTGGTACAACATCGACCTGCTGTTGGATTAATTTTAACTTAATCCATTGGGTCATTAAGGCAAACCCAACAAAAAGAAATTATATCCTAACTAGGTGATTTGTTATGCGATTCAGTAAATATTTAGATTGACCCAATATAGCAATCCAATATTTTTACCCATTCTGTTGGGTAAAATTATTAAACTTCTTTTTGAGTGCAGGATCGCATCATACTTGGCAAAATCATGACGTGACTATTCACATTTCTGGGTTTCTCAGCATTGGAAGTCATCATAGTTGGGTAAATGTAGAGAGCAGTGAATGGGAGAGTGCCACAAATACATTTAGATTGTACAAATATCTCCACAATAGTGTTATCACCACTTTCAGAAAAAGAAAAATGTGTTAACTATTAAGCAAATTATTAACTATTGAGTGTTAACTATTTTTTTTGTAATTTGTGAAGTTTATTTATAAACTAATTTCAAGAGGATCACGTGCTTATGATTGCTTGCGGCTGGCCCTGCATTATCCAATTTATCATTCGCCAATCAGACGACTCATAAGCCACTATAACGGCCTTAGGTTTCATACCACAGTCATCTTCGTTTTGAAGAACTAACGGGCTCGAGGATCTTTTGAGCTCAGGGCTCTCTCCCGAGACAGCATGCCAAACAAGCTTTATAATCAATCATCAGTTAAGTGTAAACTCTTGAAGCTGCAACTATGATGTATAGCTTTATAAATGCATATGTTTTTTTTTAATCAAAAATATGTAAACTGTTCAAGGATTTAATAAGCTGATGACCACTGAAAGCATCTTCACAATCTTTCGCAAAGGATCGATTAACAGCAGTGTTTTCATTTTGAGTGAACGTTGGTTTTAAAGGCATCATTTATTCTCCCTTGTATGGTTTTAAACTGTTATAAGTATCATCTGTTGAAAACAAAAGAAGGTATTTTGAAGAATGCTGGTTAATGGCACCAATTGACTTCATTAATTAATTCATTTATTCATTTTTTTTTCATTTCATTCATTCATCATCTACTCTTTTCAGTGAAAAGGGAAGGTTGACTAATTTATGAAAGAATTTTCTATTTGGGTGAACTGTCCCTTTAAGACACAGCAGAGGAAAAGATTTATTAGAAAAAGTTGCACATTTGAGTTTGCATGTTCTCTCCATGTTTGCGTGGGTTTCCTTTGGGTGCTTCGGTTTCCCCCACAGTCCAAAGACATGCGCTATAAGTCAACTGGATGAACTAAATTGACTGTAGTGTATGAGTGTGTGTGTATGTGAGTGTGTCTGGGTATTTCCCAGTGCTAGGTTGCAGCTGAAAGGGCGTCCACTGTTTAAAACGTATTCCGGAATAGTTGGTGGTTCATTCCACTGTGGTGATCCTTGATAAATAAGAGACTAAGCTAAATGAAAATGAATGAAGTTAATCCTAATTCTTAATTTTGTAGTTTTGAAAGCCACTGTTTCTGCATTATACTATACAGCAGTTTGTTGTTTGCCAATTATTATCATTCCCAGCCTCAAACAAGCAAATACACTGCATTTCATGCAGACTTAAGTCTCGGTCCAGAAATCCTTGTGGTCGTTTATAAGCACAAAACAAGACTTTGTATAGCTTATAAATGATTTTATGCTTTTATTGGCTTCATGTGCTCGCACTATGGCTGTTTTTTAACTCTCAAATGATGTGAGAAAAGGGTGGATGTCTATTTTTAGCTGAAGATTAAAAGCATTGGTGAGGGTAGAGTAAGAAAAATAGATCATTTAGGCAGCTGGTAATAGGGATTTAAGACGGTTCCAATAAAAGATTGGTTTTGGACCAATCTAGCATTTTATATGAAGCCTTATAGTAGGGCTTCTCCTGTCTTCAGACACCAGGAAACAAATTTAGGAGCAGAAAGATAATGAGGAATGAAATATTAAACAGTGTATTAATGGGAGACTTTTTTGCATGAGGAGATATAATAAAGAAACCCTCATAATTCCATAATGTCTTCCCATCTTAAATTAATGTCAAAGCAATCTCCTAACGCTCTCATCAAGAATGTTCACTAATGGAAAATGGGCTGTATAAAAAAAGACATATTAGCTTAAGACGAGAAGTAGGTTATAAAGGAAAGGTTGTATATTAAATGATTCCAGTGGCGGTTTTCTTGCAGCCTGTCATGTGTAGAGACATTTTACAGCTTGTCAACTGTATCTGCATATTGTTCTGTTTCCTGTGATCTGAGTTTGTTTGCTCTTGGAAAATGATGGCACTTAGAAATATTCGTATGCTATTTTGAGAGGACCAAAGATGAATGCATGGCTTTCATCAAGTTTCCCTTCAACTTCTCTTTGTGTTTCTTTTAAAAGACAGCTTTGATTTGTATGTCAATGAGAGGCCTTCATAAAAAAGTAAAGAAAAGAAAATTTGATTTCTTCTAGTTATTTCACTGAACAATATGGACCTAACCGCATTTTAGATCGCTTCTGCTCTTTTCATTTAAGGCTTTAAATATAAGGTTTGATTAATAAAAAAAAATCTTAAGTGTTGCCAACAGACATTTTATTATACTCTCATAGTCTTGACTTTAAAATTGGTTAACAGGGTCATATACAGCCATTCTCAACCTTTTCTCAAGTCTTTTCTCTTTCTTTTGTCTGGTTTCTCTTGGATCCTGTGAAATATCCAGGTTTTGTAACATTTTTGTTCTGCCACTGCTCAGTTGCAAACATTACTAATAAGTAGGCCCACAAGGAATCTGCGTTCACAGAAATCCGCAGATGTTAAGCCCATTATTGAGTCTATTTATTTACTTGTGTAAATGTGTGTACATTTATATTTTGATTTGATTATGATATCTTTACAATACAGTTTTAAAAGTCATATTTTGTCTTTTAGTAAATATATTATATGATAAACTTGCTTTGTTAACGAAATAAGTGGATCTAATTGGATTAGCATTGTAAAGTAAAAAGGTATAATTTTTTATTTCCTATTTTAAGTTTTTAGTTACAATTCTCCCAAAATCCTTAAGCATAAATCCGCAAATTTTTACAAAATTCTTCGGAGAAATTTTTTTTTTTTTTTCGCAGATTCTGTCTGGCTCTAGTAATCCGTGACTAGTAAAATAATAATAATAGAAAAAATTAAGACAACGACAATTGAACTAAGATAAAATAAACAATGTTTTACATTTACGCAGGTACAATGCAAAAATATAGTTACTCCATGGCAGATTGATCTGCTTGTTTTAAGAAAATACTTACTTCATTTTGACTTAAAACAAAACAAAACGTTTTTCTTGTCTATAAAATGGCGCTAGATCAATGGTCTCAAACTCAATTCCTGGAGGGCCGCAGCTCTGCACAGTTCAGGTCCAACCACCTCCAACTCACACCTGACTTGAACACTTTGGTTAGTTTAGTTAGATTATTTGGATCAGCTGTGTTTGATTAGGCTTGGAGCAGAACTGTGCAGAGCTGCGGCCCTCCAGGAATCAAGTTTGAGACCTATGCTCTAAATTTAAGAATTTATAGATTTTTGTACTAGAAACAAGACAAAACCTCTATGTAAGAACAGTTTAATTCTTTGAAATATGAAAATTGTGGATCTGTCGTTTGTAGTTTGAAAAACAGTTGGTCACATCAGCTAATACATTTACCTAATAGACCCATTTCACATTTCCGGGTGAAAATGTCAATGGGAATCATCGATGGGAAAACGTAGAGCACAGTAAATAGGAGAATTCTAAGTCTTATTTGCTCAAATAATAAAAGAAAACTCCACAATGGTATTGTTGAGACTTTCAGAAAAAGGTAAAAAAAATTGTGCGAATGATAACAGTAGACAGAAAAGAGAAAAATCTCGAGTTTACTGTTAGCTGCATTAGAAATGCCTGACTCAAGCGGTAATATTTATTTTAATTTTTTTGTCACTTGAAGCAAAGATTATGCAATACATAAATATACATATAAATATCCATACGTTTAAAAAAAAATCTAAATATAACAAATTTTTAAGGATTTAATATGCTGATGACCGTTAAACGCGTCATTACAGGCTTGGGTCCATACGCTGATATGCAAGTTTTTTTCAACTGTTTGTTAACTCGAGATATAACAGACTACTTTTACATGAATACCTACCAACATTTTGATGCCTTTTGTATGTATTTGTCTATCCAAAAAGCTCCTAAAGACCTGAGAGAGTAAGTTAGCACCCACATTTCTTGAGACGTAAACATGCTTAGTTCCACACAGTTCCTTCGCAACACAAATCAAAGCTAATATAATCATTTTACATATTTAAGTGGAATGAACATAAAATCGCCTCACAGCAAGAAGGTTGCTGGTTCAAGTCTCGGCTGGGTCAGTTGGCATTTCTGTGTGGAGTTTGCACATTCTCCCTGTGTTCGCATGGATTTCCTCCGTGTGCTTTGGTTTCCCCTACAGTCCAAAGACATGCGGTATTGGTGAATTGTATAAACTAAATTGGCCGTAGTGTATGAGTGTGAATGAGGGTGTATGAATGTTTCCGAGTACTGGGTTGCAGAGAGTGGTTAATTTGAACATTTAACCCATGAATCTGATTAACAGTGATCTGTATTTATCATGCCAATTCAAATGTACACCTACAAAAAACACCTTGTGCTTTGATTTACTGTCTTCTAACCAGTACGTTATGATTCTCTATCTCAGGTTATTCAGGCGGTGTTTTTCGGAGTGTGTGTCCTGACTGACCTATCGAGCCTTTTGACAAAAGGCAGCGCCAGTATGGAGCAAGAGAGACAGCTGAGGAAGCTGATTGGCTTACGTGATTGGATGATGGCTGTTCTGGCCTTTCCCGTTGGGGTGGTATGTATAAATCAGATTTGTCATTTTGCGTACATAAACTAATTGAGCGAGATCAGTCAAAATACACTTTATTTGTGTTACTTGGACTCACATACAGTGATTGCGAGCAGGCCTGTCGGCTTAATGACGGTATGTTGATGTTCAGATAACATCAATGCTTAGAATCAACACTGGAAATTGGATCAAAATTGAATATAAATGCCAATAAGGCAAAGTGAAACCATGCAAAAACTAAAGATTTGAGAAGTTCTTTTACTTTACATGAGCGTTGTATGCAAACATAGGCCATTTTTTGTGCACAGAAACCCTACAAAAGCATAAGGCTGGCAGTGAGTTATTGTGCGGTTAGTTTAAAGTGTGTGAACCTACTGTAAACTCCATGAGCCATCAATTTCCATTGTTAATCTGTGGGAAAGAAAAAAAACTGTACTGCAACGCTACATGAATGCAATACTTTGTCTGAAGCTGCCCTTCCCTTCCCACAGATGTCATTGGCATTACGATGTCTGAAACCACAGAAAAAAACAGAGGCAACTATTCAAAACTTGTTTCGAGCAATCATTCAGGGGATCTAAGAAAGAGGAGGGTTGTGTGTTGAGCACATTTGTAGAGGGTGCCGAAGGTAAAATAATGCTTGCTAACGCATGTCCGATGGTTTGATTCTTTTGCAACTAAACCGTTTTCAATGACATCTTATTTCATGCACAACTGTTCAAAAGTTTGGAGTCGGTGAGGTTGTTGAAAGAAGTCTCTTATATAATCATTAAGGCTGTGCTGATTTGATTACAAATATAGTAAAGTACTTACTCAATTTCATTCATTCATAATTCATTCATTCATTTTCCTTCAGCTTAAGTATGATTTATACTTCTGTGTTGAGTGATCGGCATGAATCCTTGTGCATAGTTGTGCATTTATACTTCTGCGTGCTGTTTGTGTTGTCTGCAATAACACTTCCGAAATGCTAGTTGGCAGTAGGTTTTAATGTTCCTCTGTGTCGTGTTTCTTTGTTGGTGTTTTGTTTTTCTGAACGCTACATTAATGTACAAGTAGCTAGTAGCAGAGGAGGGAACTGGCAGATGTGCAACAACTTTAATCATAAAGTAAACACAAAACAAGTTACAAGACCCTTGTAAACGCTCGCTCCAACAGGTTTGCACGGCTTTCGGTCCCGTCCACATTGGTCACAGCTACCAAGCTGACTAATCACAGAGCTTGCGCTACACGTCATTGCGATGGCTATGCGACCACGTGCAGGCTTATAAGAATATGCATACACTTAAAGCAGAAGTTTAAAGCAGCCTTTAGTTCCTAATTATACAGGGGTTGCCACAGCGGAATGACCCACCAACTCTACGGTTTTGTTTTACCAGCCTGATCTAATGAGGAAATGTTACTGTTTGACGTTTTGTCAATTTAGTGGCTACTTTGCACAAATTCGAGTTCAGTTGTATGAAAATGTACAATTTTAAAAAGAAGGCATGTCTGGGCACAACTGTCATTGGGGGATGAGCAAATCATACTAAATTGTACTAATGAAATCCTACAATTGCATATGAATTATTCACTAAGTCAAAAAGTTATTATTACGCTGGTTTTACACAGCGAATGCACTTTCCGCCACAACCCATTAGTGAAGAAACTCACTCATTTTCTTTCAGCTTATTCTTTATCAGGGGTTGCCACAATTGAATGAACTGTCTGTAGTAAAACAGTCATTAAAAAAAGTTGAATATATTTAAAAATGTCATTTATATATTATGATGGCAATGTTGAAGTTTCCGCATAATTACTTTAGTCTTTGGTGTTACGTAATTCTAATATGCATTTTTAAAAAAATAGATTTAATTTAATTTAATAATAGTTATTTAAATAATAGTAATTTTAAATAGTAATTTGGATAATTTAAAATAGATTTTTTTGTAACAAATATATTTACTGTCACATTTAATCAATTTAATGTTCTTCACTCAAAAAATGATGTTTGTTGTTTGTTCAAGATACTTATTTAAAATTAGCTAAAACAACACAATTCTTGAGTTTTTTTTATTATTATTATTTAGAAATTTTTTTGGGGGGGGGGTTATTGTTTAATGTTCAATCCACTTAAATTAACTAATAAATAAAACTAATAAGCTAACTTAATGTCTACCTTGTTGGCACAGTTGGCAGCGCGTCAGTCTCATAATCTGAAGGTTGTGAGTTTGAGCCTCACACGGGGCAGAGTGGTACATTTTGTTTCCCAGGGATGGGTTGTGGCTGGAAGGGCATCCACTTCATAAAAACGTGCTGGATAAGTTGGCGGTTCATTCCGCTGTGGCAACCCCGGATTAATAAAGGGACTTAGCCGACAAGAAAATGAATGAATGAATGAATGAATGAATGAAAGCTAACTTAATTCCTTCATCAAATAATTAATTAAAAACTTATAAGCTAACTTAATTCCTTTATCGATTAATTAATTAATTAAATAAGGTAACTTAATTCCTTCAAATCGATTGTGTGGAATCCAGCATGTTTTTTTACTGTGCTGTTAAATAACACTAATGTTCATTCATTTACACATTTTGAACCGCCAATAAATGAACCGCCAACTTATCCAGCACATGTTTTACGCAGCGGATGCCCTTCCAGCTGCCACCCATCACTGGGAAACATCCATAAGTACATCCATCTCATTCCCACTCATACACTATGGACAATTTAGCTTAATCAATTTCCCTATACCACAAGTCTTTGCACTGTGGGGGAAACTGGAGCAGAGGAATACAAAGAAATGCCAACTGACCCAGCCGGGGCTCGAACCAGCGACCTTCTTGCTGTGAGGCGATTGTGCTACCCACTGCACCACCATGTTACCTTAAAAGTCATGTACCATCTAAAATTTAAAAGTAATCTTAAATTCCATAATTGGCTCAAAAATAACTACGTTTGTCCCTTGTAAAATGAAAGGAACTATACTTAAGAGTAATTTTTTTTTTTTCTTCTTCTTCTATTGATTATCATTCTTTTTAGCCTATGTTTAAACAGCTTGTGATGAAAAAACAAAACAAGACCTTTGCTTCTGATTTAATAATAAAAGCAGAGCAAATGTACATTATGTGTGCAAACACAAACAAGTTGGTTGCAGTTGATTTAATGATCATTATTATCACTAATATCAAGAGTTTCTGGCTTCTAAATCACCTGTAAAAGTCTCTAAATAAAGCAAGCAAACTGAACTATGCAACAAGAAACACAAGGCACACATTACATAACATTCTAAAGTTTACTATGTTGTCTTTGTAGGGCAAAGTAAACACTCGATGCCTTCAGATCTTTAAATAGAGCATCAAAGCACTAAATCTTCTGATTCCTTAAAAGGTACAACAGAAAAACTGATGGAAAAGCATGAACCTGCAGGTCAAGTCCGACAGCATCTGTATTCTTTCATACCGCTATATCAAGCCACATCCACACATGCTACTTTACATAGGGGGACTACAGACACCAATATGCATTGTTTTAAATTTACAGCCTATTTGTTTTGCAAATGTCCAGTCGTCTATCTGTCACAGTCGCAAAACCAGCTGGGCAATATAACCCCATCCCGTAAAGTTGAGAAGGAAACGCTGCGTTGTTTCTGTTTTGGGTGTTCATGATGATCATCAGATAATTGGATGGAAAATATTTAAATTGCACTCACCAATGTCTTGTTTTGTCCTGGCCGGCTAAAGATCTTTTAATGTTGCACAATGTTAGTTGGCAGTATTAGATGTCAAATGACAATGTCAAAGTGATTTAAACTTTAAGTGGAAAGAAAACTGACTCTGCTCATTTTACTTTAATGAAAAGAGACACAGGCAATACACTTAAAGGGATAGTTCACCCAAAACTGAAAATGCTGTCATCGTTTACTCATCCTTTACTTGTCACAAAGCTGTTTGAGTTAGTTTTTTTTTCTGTTGAAGACAAAAGAAGTTATTTTGAAAAATGTTGGAAACCTTTAACCATTGACTTCAATAGTATTTTTTTCCACTGTGGAAGTCAATGGTTACAGGTTTTGAACATTTTTCAAAATATCTGCTTTTGTGTTTATCAGAAAAGAGAAGCTCATAAAGATTTAGAATTGCTTGAGGGTGAGTCATTTTTCATTTTTGGGTGAACTATCTCTTTAACATTGCACTAATTAAAAGCTTTTTCTCAAGAACAACATTACTTTAAGTTTTTTACAACCGTTTTGCCACAAATTTCATAACTGTCAATTTTCAAACACAAAACTCACAACCATTGCCAAAATGACACATTTTTATAAAACTCTTAACTCAAATGCTTGGATAAACACAAAAGTCAAAGATGCTTTGTTCACTGAATTAAGATCATCTTTTCAATATAACAAAATTTAACATCAGATTGATCTCATTTCAAATTGCAACTCAAACATTATATTTGAAATAATTAAGCATTTATTTGATTAACAAAATGCAACTATCAACTGATACAAGCACTCAAAATAATAAAAAACTGCTGCAATAAATAACTGTTCCTGTGCCCAAATCCACAGGGCCAGAAACTCAGATCCCAAATAGAAATGTTATTTCACACAAGTAAAATATATACAGTATCATACATGTCAAAATAATTGAAAAAAAATGCAATTTTTTCAACAATTAGAATTACAACTATGTACATATGTTACTGAATTATATTACCTACAATTTATTTAGGTGTCCATATATGGCTGTTTATAAACACACACACACACACACACACACACACACACACACACACACACACACATACATACACAGGTATATATATATATATATATATATATATATATATATATATATATATATATATATATATATATACATTTGAAAAAAATGTAAACAGTGATTTTTGCAATACTTCGACAAATATAGTCGTATAGACAAATATAAAGTTTTATATGTCGTCATATATCATGCCATAGGTCAACCTTTCAATATGGAGGCGTACATTGAGAAAGACTTAACTGTACTTTATATATATAAATATATATATATATATATATATATATATATTTTTTTTTTTTTTACATAAATCAACGTTATGATTAAATGAATAAAACTGTAGTTCAGTGATTCCACTGTCTTATCCTTAAATTGCATAAAGAAACCTGTATCATATGTTTTAAACGGCAATATTTGATGATTGTTAATGATTGCTTATTGAAATAATGTGTGATCTTGTTTGTGGGTGATCTAAAGTTGTGTTCCTGTAGTATTTGTATGATAAAAGGATTATGTGAACCAATGATTCTGCTAATGCAAGACTTCACGAAACAAATGAACGCAACATGCAGTGTTTTGAGCACCGGAGAGCCTGCGTTAAAAGTAATGACTTCAGTTTTGTGTCTAGAGCTGAAGAAAACTGACATCATGGTTCTGAAATTTGTGGCAAAACAATTGAAAAAAACTGTAAATAAATAAAAGTGAAAAAATGTAAAACCAGTTCTGAACTGTGAAAAAACACTTCTGGTAAAAGGTTTTATTAATTTAATTTTATTTTATTTTATTTTATTTTATTTTATTTTATTTTATTTTATTTTATTTAAAAAACATAATTATTTTATGCAAGTTTTTGTACCTGTTATCTACATTTAAAAAATCTAGTTTGTAGTTGGTAAGAATTTGTTTTTAAAAATGTTTTTAACTAATGCAAGCCTTTATTGATCTGATCAAAAATAAAAATAATATATAAGTAATCACTTGTTTTAAATATAATATACATAGTGATACACTTGACCATTGCATCATTTCATGTGTATGTGCAGATTTTATGTTCGCAGATTCTCAGCTGGATTTAATGAGATGGCAGACAGTGAGGCTTCCTTGTTAGCTTGTAAAAAACTTATCAGCCAGACAGCCATGATATACAAAACACAAAATAGATGCTTGACTTGGCCCTGGGCCTCGGTCTAAGAGCTGGGTATGAGGCTCAGCTTACAGCCGTCACAATGAGCATCATTAATGCTGACGGTAATGTTGGGAAACACTGGTTGAGTGATATGCATACTTTGTTAACTTTAGCCAGGTCATTTCCTACTGGTACCCAATTTCTGAAACACTATGGGACAAAAATTTGCACTGTCTGCTTAAAGCTCTTATTCTACACTGGGGTGGGGAAATGCTAGGATTAACTTTAAAACTATTTTGAAACTTTAAATGCTACTAAATTGTTTATCAGTAATAACAAAGCAGCATCATTAAATGAGAAGTTAATTATTTAAAAGCCGAAATTGATTTGATTTGAGATAACAATTACCTCACTATTTACTTTTCCTCATGTCGTTGAACAGAAAAAATTATTTAAAAAAATGCTGGTTGATGGTACCCACTAGCTGTGTCTCATTTCAGAGGCTGCATCCTCTGAAGGATGCATTTAAAGGGCGCTGCGTTATCGGGGTCCGACGAAGGTTGTATCATTTCAAAAAGATTTGAAGGCTTTTTCAAATGCAGCCTCAAAATGCGCCCTTCACTTCCCAGGTAATGAAGGATACTACTGGTGGATCCTTTGCAGCTTTAAACATCCCAAAATTCATTGCAAACTGATATTGGCGGGACGTTTTTAAAAGAAAACTCTGAATTAAATGTATGAATTAGTTTTTATTTTACTTGGTTATCTAAACACACATTATAAAACAAAAAGAGTATTACATGTCTCACTAAAAAAGGATTTAATAGACAGATTACAATTTTATGTCTACATGTGTGGATCGAAGGAAATATATTTTCAGCTTTTGTAAAATTTTTCACTTAAAAAGAAATGTCATTACAAGTTTTATTACAGCTTTTCCAGATCTGATCACGTGATCGGAAATCAGGCCAGATCATGCGGTTTCAGACTCGATCGAGATTCGCATGTTACCTCCCGATTAGGACTCGAATGTGTATATATATCCTCATTATTTTTAAACACAATTTAACACTTCACACAGAAACAGCAACGTGTGTGGCATGACATCACTTTGTTGCAGAGACAATATTGGTTTATGGAAGTTACACCAACTAATTTTGAGTTGTTGAATATTAAAATAAGGTGAATTAAATAAAAAATAAGGAACATCTTGGATCTGTTTCTTCGCTCTTCTTTTTTCTTTTTGTATGTGTTATAGAGGTATCAAATCGGGTTTTAGTATCGGTAGATACTCAAAATCAAGTGACTCGGACTCGAGACCATAAAAAACATGATCAGGACATCCATAATAGATAGTTATATAGAATTAGTCAAAACAGCGATGCTGTGGCTTATAGTCATTAATTGAAAGTTCCTTATTTTTTGCTTTTGTATTTGCAACATTTCAGAAAAACAAAATATCGCAATGTCAGTTGTTCATATATCTTGTGTGGTTTATTTATAAACTAATTTCCAGAGGATCACGTGCTTATGAACATAGCTGATACCGCATCAGCTCCATATGTTGCACAAATCAGACGAATACTGACCCAATTACCAGAGTTTCCTACTCCACTCATCTTTGTCTTGAAGAATTCCTCCTTCAACCCCTGCTCCTCCGCTTTACTAATAGGGCGGCACGGCGGCCTAGTGGTTAGCACTGTTGCCTCACAGCAAAAACGGCGCTGGTTCTGCCTTCGAGCCGGTTGGTGTTTCTATGCAGAGTTTGCATGTTCTCCCCGTGTTCATGTGGGTTTTTCTCTGGTTTTTTGGTTTCCTCCCACCGTCCCAAGACATACACTATAAGTAAAATGACTACTTTAAAATAGCATCCTAAAGCAACTCTTAGTCAAATTTATCTCAGCAGTTCACAAGCAGGGGAGTTCTCGAGACCTACCTGAGCTCAAACTCTCCACTCACCCTTCAAACTGGAGGGAGCCCCGGGCTCAAGGATATTCTGAGCTCTGAGCTCTCTCCCAGGACAGCATGCCAAAGACGCTTTATTATCAATCATCAGCTAAGTGTGGACTCTTGACACACTCCTAGTATACAGCAAATCAGTCCACAGAAATAAAGTGTCCAGCTAGTCTGACTGAACAATAAAGAAGGTTTGCAGTGTATTATATGGGTTATCCAATGATATGCAGTGGAACGGCCAAATAAACCACCTGTCCAGCAGTAAAATTATTTAACATGAGCTTTCAATACGAAACCCAACATATACTTCAAATAGACTTCAGCATGTTGCTTTCACAAGGCCAGTTCTCAGAGTGCCTCTCATTTATTTGGGTACGACAACCATCATCCAGGCCCTTACTGGAAACAAGAGTCCTGCAAAATAATCGGAGACACCCAAGCCAAACAGAAATCTGTCACACCCATAAATGAGGCCCATTAATGCAAATACGTTGGAGCAGTTCAGGATTACAGCAGAGGAAGTGAATTCCTCCTCGGAGAGCCAAACACTTCAAACGCTCCTTCATAAGGCCTGTGTGCGCCACACCAACATGCCTGTTTTAAATAGTGTGTGATGTGTGGTGTCCTCATCATCTTAAGACTGTCCTTTTGCACACAAGGCATCTGTAGCTCCAAGTAAATGCCGGATAAAAGTGAGGAAGAAGAAGCAGTCAGCTCCATGGGATTAATTATTGTGTGCTGCTGATATGAAAATACAAGCTCCCTGCGTTGGTTCGCTGTGCTCATGGCTGGTTCTAGTGCTTGTCATGGTTTTGTGCAGAGATTGTGTCCTGTAGATGAGGGAATCAAAGAGGATATTAGAAGAGTTCAACTCTTTCGGCATAATGAGATGTGCTGGCATGAAGCAGGAGTCAGGCAGTCTGCCGGAAGACCTGCTGGGAATCTGGGAGAGAGGAATGGGCTCAATTTAAAGGCTTTGCGGGGAGTGAAAGGTCTTAAAAAGTTATGAAGTTCCTCTGAAGATAAAATGTAGCCGCAATTAACCTTTATTAAAGGGAGAGTTCAGCCAAAACCGAAAACTCTGTCATCATTTACTCACCCTTCACTTGTTGCAAACCTGTTTGAGCTGTTTTGTTCCATTGAACCCAAAAGAAGATGTTTTGAAAAATGATTATTGCTGGAACCCCTTTGCTTTGTCACAATTTGCATACTAGAATTAAACATTTATTCATTTTATTTTCGGCTTAGTTCCTTTATTTGTCAGTAAATGGACCACCAACTTATTGAGCATATGTTTTACACAGCAGATGCCCTTCCAGCTGCAACCCATTACTGGGAAACACCCATACCCTCTCATTTATACATATACACTAAGGATAATTTAGCTTACCCAATTCACCTATAGCGCATGACTTAGCACCCGGAGGAAACCCTCGCCAACACGAGAAGAACATGCAAACTCCACACCCAAATGCCAACTGAGCCAGCCGAGGCTCGAACCAACAAACTTCCTGCTGTGAGGAGACTGTGCTATACATTGAGCCACTGCTTTGCCCAACATATCATATATATTCATATTATATGATTATATAATAAGAATTCTGTGGATATACTTATTTTGTTGTTGTTGTTGTTGTTGTTGTTGTTGTTGTTGTTGTTGTTGTTGTTGTTGTTGTTGTTGTTGGGATCTGATGATTCATTATCAGTTTCTGTCTTTGTGTTTGCAGTTTGTGGTGACCATGTTCTGGACTCTTTACTTGTACGACAGAGATTTGATTTACCCAAGACTGCTGGACAACTTTATACCTCAGTGGCTAAACCATGGCATGGTGAGTAAGAATCTGATGTTTTCTTTCTTTCTTTCTTTCTTTTTTCTGCAAGACTGCAAAATATGTTTGTCAGTTTAAAATCACTGACATTATAAATGTCATTCTAAATGAGCAATGCTATTTTTATAGCGCACACACATATAGATACTTCACTCTCAGGCAGGAAGGAAAAAAAGGCACATTTTGTTCTTTTCAACATCTTGGGCCACACTGACGTCAGATGTGAAAATGACAGTTGTTGCGCAATCGTTCATTTCAATCCGATGGAACAAAAGCTGCAAGGTGGTGTCAAATACTGGCAGGTCTTGTTTTTTTTTGTGGCAGGTGATTGTTCTGATGTCTAATGTGACAGCGCTATTATCTGCAGTGTAAATACGCTTACACAGACACACTGACATGAACGCAACATAAATGTATTTTAAAATCACTGCAATTAGTCTAAAAGAGCCTCCACGAGAGATATTTAATAACCTAAACACTTCCTTATTGAATCCTTCTTTAATTTGCTGAAGTGGCCTAGACGAAAGACGTTTTGGGACCTGGAGGCTTCTGATAGATTGATAGGAAATACAACTCAAAATGAGGCTATTACTGGAAACGTGGTTGAGTGTCTCAGTCGGCGCTAATCACAGGATGTATTCAGTTGACTCGGGTAAAGCCTGGGGCCAATGACAACACACGTCGCGGTTGCTAAGGAAACATGTCTCGGTTATTAATCAACATGAATGTAACCTTTGAGCCTAATCAGAAATTGTCTCTATCTTTAATGTGCAGTGGCATTGTGAAATCACATGCAAGTGGATTTTCCGCAGGGTTTTTACACCTTTCAGCATTTGTCATTATTATACATTAGACCGTATATTAATTTTTTAGCTGTAGCTCGTAGGTATGTGCTAAAAATGTACATTTCTTTTAGTGGACTGGTGAATTGTGAGCAAAATGTGGCTTGAGAGTTTATTCTAGTCATAGATAGCAGGGGAAAACGTTTATTCATTTTCTTTCAGCTTAGTCGTTTTATTCATCAGTGGTCGCCACAGCGGAATGAACCTCCAACTTATCCAGTATAAGTTTTATGCAGAGGATGCCCTTCCATCTGCAACCCAGTACTGGGAAACATACACACTCACAAGCACACACATACACTACGGCCAATTTAGTTTATTCAATTCCCCTGTACCGCATGTCTTTGCACTATTGGGGAAACCGGAGCAACTGGACGAAACCCACGCCAACACTGCAAGAATTTGTATTTATTGAATGGGATAGCCCCTTGAGATGAACCATCTCTTTTTCGAGGGGGTACCTGAGTACATCACATCATTACAAACATACAGCTAACAAAACAAACAAGCAGTACAACTTACCTGAAACATTTCCCACAGTTTACAACCTGGGCAAACAATAACATATCATCAAAATGACAAACAATTTGATATACAATTAAATAATAAGCATTTAGATTGGAACCAATTACATTTACAAGTTGTTTTCAAAAACAAAGATAAATTAGTCCTGAAAAGTCTGTCTTAATTGATCTTAAAAAAGAAGGAAGATTGTTCCAGTTAGCAGGAGTTATGTATTAAAAGGATCTTCGGCCACTTTCTGTTGTAAATGAAATTGGGGGTTTTGGTAGAGCTATAAAGGTTTTTTTTTCCCCAATGTGAATGAAGGACACTGTATAATAGGGTGCATACAACTAAAGCATTAACAGACATTAAACAGACAGTCTACTTATACTGATCGTTGCCATGCAAATGCCATATAGTCAACAGAATGTCAGAGCATCATCTAAATATAAAATAGCATCAAAATGACCAATCATGCATTGCTAATAGCAGCAAGACAGTTTAAATTGAGCTGATGCTACCATGGGCTGCTCAAAATACAAATGGTTCCTTCTAAAATACAATTCAGAGTCGTCAATGAAGAGAACAGATTTCTTATGTGTCTCAGATAATGGTTTTCCCCAGTCAGAGAAGCAAGAGGTCTTGTGATGGAAGTACAGCCTGGCTGCTGAGGTTCACCCTTCCAGCTGAGAACGATTTGTGCTATGCAGAAATGTCCAGATGATCCCGCCTGTTACTCCACTGTAAATATTTTGAAGCATTCCATGGTACCACAGTTGTTTGTTTACCCATGTGGCCGTGGCAACTGTCTGCTGTTCACTCTGGCTGAGAAACATTGACTGAGCCTTTTCGCTTTCAAAAATCAAGTACTGAGTCTGAGCTTGTGTTGATAAACGATAATGTGACATGTTTTATCACAATGTTTTTAAAGGAGGCTCATTTAGACTCCACATAAATTCAATTCAGTTAAATTAAATTAAATTTGAATGCTTGAAATTGAAGGATATAGTTGAAAAATATATATTTTTATACACATTCAAATTGCAAAAACTTTGTATAAACAGTAGTAGTAGTAATTGCAGTAATAATAGAAAAAAATGTATATATAATAAAAATAAAATATGTTTGATAACTAACATAAATATAACAATAAAGTAGAATAAAAAATGAATAAGAATAATGGAAAAATTAGAACCATCTACTGTAGCATAATAATAATAATAATAATAATAATAATAATAATACTTTATGAAAATTATACAACTATTTTATTTAGCTAATGTTAATTATAAAAATAAAGTATCAAAATATTTTATAGTATTTATTATTATTATTATTAAAATATAAATATAACAATATAATATATCATGTAATATAACATATTATATAATAAATAATATAAAATAATATAAAAAATATAATGTAATAATTTTAATAATAAATAAAAAATAAATAATCATGGTCATTTTTGTTATTTTGTCAGAAACACAGAACCAAAACAAATAGTTTCTACAAATATTTTCAATGACTTGTATATAATCTATCACTAGTTTATGCTATGTTCTGGCAGTGAAACCCCTACAGAAGGGCCTTTATGGATCCCACACGCACTGAAAGACAAAAAAAAAAAAAAAAAGAAATGCATGTTTTTCACCACTTCCTTAAAAATCTGCCAAAAACAAACCCTAATAACACTGGACAACAGCCTCTTTTAAGTAATTTCATTTGAATACACTAGACATATTTATAGTTCTCCTTGTGCAATGTAACTCGTGGCTATAAAAGTCTTTTCAAACCTTCAGGGACTCTTTCTATAAATGCAGACACATGCAAATATTTGTGAATACTAACCACATCAAGAGAATCGGAAAACTTTGTCTCTGTAAGTGCAGATGGAAGTGACATGAAAAGCAGAATAAGACAACAAACATTACTTCCCCAAAGTGACAAGGGAAAGGACGTTTTGTCTGTTCTGAAGCTGTCAAGCCATTGCAGTGCCTATCAGGACTCATAATGTGGCGATGACAATCAAAACAGAGGCATGTCAAAAGATTTAAGGAGGTCGCTGCTAAACTTTCTGGAAATAATCAGGAGGCAGTTTACCTGCGTCAAAATATCTGTGATGATAATGGTGTCTAAGTAGTGTAAGAGACTTTCTAACATTTATGAAAACAGTTGTAATTTTAAAACTATGGAAACTTATGTGGAATTCTGGCACTGCATGTTTATATCAAGCATTATTATTTTTTTAATAACTGCAAGATTATATTTAACTGCAAGTATCTAAACTGTAAGATTATATTTTTATTACTATATTTAATATTTTTTAATAACTCCAAGATCATCTTTAGCAACAAAAAATAAATGTTTTTCACATCTAACAATACTGTTAATAAGACTTTTCAACTTAATGTTCTGCAATAAAATCAAAATTGTGGCTTTTTCTGGACATTTTTCTCATAGTATTTAAGTCAGTGTATTCTTAAACCATTGTATTTAAGAATAAGCCTTAAGTGTGTTATAGTAATTGTAAGCCAAAACTCTAAGTTTGCATTTAACAATTCAGATTTTTTTTCCACAATTTTAGGTTTAATATCAAAGTTCTGACTATTTTTGCTCAGTTGCAACTTTATATCAAGTATTTGACTCTGTGAGTCTAAAAACTGCAACTTTTTAATTTTCCTTTCTCTTAACTATAAACGTCAATCCTACCTTTTTTTTGCATTTATTTTCATATTAGTGGATTTGCATCTCTCAGTTATGACTTTTTATTCTTGGAATTTTGAATTACATTACATTTCAATTGTTTCCACCACAGAATTAAATAATAATAATAATTTTTTCTTCTCCCCTTTTCGTTTTTCGAGAGACAGTCAAATACATCACGTCACGTATGCTATCTAAAAGTTACGTAAAACAATTATTTGGAAATTTTAATAAATGTAATTTGATCATATGATTTAGAATTGGATGTTTTATGGGATAATTAGTTTTTTGCAAATATTTTGCGTTTAAATTTTGCAGGATCGCAAAAAAAGATCAACTTTGTTGTTTGTTTTGTTGATTTTGCGTTGGATTTAGCGATCACAAAAATCGCAAAAAAAACTAGGGGGTCTGTTTAGAGATGTAGAAACAACTCATAATTGTGACATAAAAGTCACTGTGCCTGTTTTATTTTTGTATTTCATGTCCAAAATAAGCTTCCATACACAACAGCTTGTCACTGGGACAAGTTACAGCGTCTTAAAGCGCAGACAGGAAACGACACCAAAAGAGGAATAACACAACAAACATTTTTTTCTCCCAAGTGACAAGGGAAAGGACATTTTCTCTGTTCTGAAGCTGTCAAGCCATTGCAGTGCCTATCAGGACTCATAATGTGGCAATAACAATCAAAACAGAGCCACTTCAATAGGACTTAAGGAGGCCGCTGCTAAACTTTCATGGCACCATCGGGAGGCAGTTTACCTGCGTCAAAGTATCCGTGACAATAATCCCGTCTCCGCTTTGTAATTACTCTGCCGCAGAGAGAGGCCTGTCAGAGGAGCCTTTCTCTACTCTAACGTTAATGCCAGTGCCCTCCTGCTGAGCAGCCACTAAATTCAAAGCGACTCGCTGTAAACGCGTACCACAAATAAACATCTTTCATCTGCT